AGGAAGGAAGGAAGGAAGGAAGGAAGGAAGGAAGGAAGGAAGGAAAGAAGGAAAGAAAGAAAATCCTAAAATATGTATGGAATCAAAGACCCCAAATAGCCAAAGCAATCTTGAGAAAGAAAAACAAAGCTGGAGACATCACACTTCCTAATTTCAAACGAAACTGCAAAGCCATAATAATCAAAACAGTATAGTAACGGCATAAAAACAGACACATAGAACAAAGGAACAGAATTGAGAGCCCAGAAATAAGCCCATGCATATATGGTCAGCTAATATTTAACAAGGGAGTCAAGAATACTCAATGGAAAAAAAATAGTCTTTCTAATATGTGGTGTTGGGAAAACTGGATATTCACATGCAAAACAATGAAATTGGAGATGCCTATCTTGCACCACTTACAAAAACTAACTCAAAATGTATTAAAGACTTAAAATAAGACCTGAAACTATAAAGCTCCTGCAAAAAAACATAGGGGAAAAGCTCCTTGACATTAGTCTTGGCGATGGTTTTTTTAATATGACACCAAAAGCACAAGCAACGAAAGCAAAAATAAACAAGGGGGACTATGTCACAGTAAGCCGCTTCTGCACAGCAAAAGAAACAGTCAACAAAACAAAAAGGCAACTTCAGAATAGGAGAAGGTGCTTTAATAAAACCACCTTTTGCACCAAAGACATCTCAAGAATTCTTTCTTGGCCATCGGCTTTGAACCCTCATGTTCTTTCCTACATCATTATTCATAATCTTTTCAAATACATTCTCAATCCGGGCTTATTCACTATTCATCAAGTATTGATACAGACAGCATGTGTAACTGGCTAGGGTACCACCAGCACCTGGTCTGAAAGGGTTGAATGAGCTTATCCGCAAGGTTCTCCCAGCCCCAACAGGAGCCTGAACGCCTGCACAGCTATATATTTTCTGTCCCATCCTAGGAGGTCACCTGTCTCCCCAGAGGCTTCTGTAATTAACCTTGAACTTCCAAAGTAGAGAACAGCACCCTCAGTTCAGACTGAAAGTGTTACTGTCTTTATACCCCTTAATCCATCTCCAAGTGGGAAGGCTCCTAAATATAAGTACAATGCATGAGTGAGGGAGCCTGTTCGTGTAGGTATCTGTGTGTTCTCCATTTTGTTCCAGAGACCCTAAGTTAAAATAGTATTCTCATCTAGGAAAACCCTATATTTTAATATTGACATCATTTGTGTTAACAGTTGTCAGAAAAATGATATATATTTGCATAATGACACATTTGTAAAAATGTGTCATCATTTGCTACCACTGGCCCTTTCATGGACTAGACAATTATTTCAGTTTACCCTCCCCCAGAAGTTCCCACTGATCCTTTTTTTTTAATTTGGTTGTGAAATCAGTAACCAAAAGGGAAATTCTTCAGCTCTCTACTTCTGCTTTTAAGAACATAAAAGTGAGGTAGAGATTGGCAGATGGCATAGCTCTTCGAGGCACAGTGGTCCACTCCAGGATTCTATTCTCTCCAGCCAGTCTTCACTACTCAGGTACAACTTGAACTAACTCTTCTTTATGACTAGGTTCCAGTCAAGTCTCTCTGTCTCTCTCTGTCTCTGTCTCTCTCTCCCTCCCTCCCTCTCTCCCTTCCTCTCTGCCCGAGAGCTGGGCTTTTTACAAAAATGCCACATGTATTATGGCTATGATTCGTGAAATATTCTGGGAATGAGTATTGCTTATGTAGCAGCAGACATCTGAGAGATCAGTGTCAAAGTCTCTGCTCCACATCTAACAAATAACACTCCTGGTTTGGGTTTGGTTTAGCAAATGTTTCCTCTGGACCCAAAGGAAGGCTCTTTCATACATTCACTCACTCATTTAAAGATTGTTCCTTTACATGCCTGCCATGTGCCAGGTGCTAAGGGAAAATCACATATGAAGGCAGCTCTCATGGAGACTGGCATGGCAGGAGTCGCTCATTTTCTCCTCTTTACACAGGTTTCTGAAGCAGCCATGGCAACAGTACCTGAACCCACCAGTGAAATGATGTCTTACTACTACAGGTCAGTGGGGACAGTGAGACCAGCAATGTGAGCTGCACTCCTCTTTCAAGAGCGGAGTGTTATCTGTGCTTGGAGACCAGATTTGTCCCCCAAACTGCCTCTTCCCGTGGCAAGCATGGCTCCAAGTTAACCTAGTTTAAAGACTGATTTCCCACTGCAAGTCCAGCCTTTGGACCCACAGGCCATCCAGATGCTGTTGCTGCAGGGGCTTCCTGCAGATGGCAAATAGGAAAAAAGATTCAAAGTACACAATACAGGGGACCTCTTGGCAAATTTTGGCTTGAGAGAGAGGAAAAGCTCAGATGTGGAGTGGGTGGAAGTTAGGTCTCAGGATCCAACAGGGAGTACCCAGGATATCTGCCCTGCCTCCTGTGCCATTCCATGTATATTGCCACAAAACTTGCCAGCAGCTTTCAGCAACTTTAAGGGACATACCATTTGCAGTTTCCTATTAATAATGAAGACTGTTTGCAGGGAATTAAAAAAAAAAGAAAGAAAACTTGTCTGGGAGACATACTTGAGCAATCTCTCTGTTTTTATTACAGTGACAACGAGAATGACCTATTTTTTGAGGCTGATGGCCCCAGAAAGATGAAGGTGAGACCATGGGCTTAGCTCATAACTCCTGGTGAGATTCTGACATGGGAGAGCCTCCAGGAAAAGGGTTCTAGGCCCCCTTGTTTCCATGGTATTTTGTGATGGAAGGACTTTTACCTCTTCCAGCAAGAGAGACACAGGTGGCACTGCATGCTGACTTGGTCACTATACCATTCCCACCATCACTCACTAAGGCTTGGTGATGATGGCTATGCTTGCGGAAG